CCCCAAAACCCCAAAACCCCAAAACCCCAAAACCCCGTAAGTATAATTCTGTCGAAATAATAAAAATATAAATAAACAAATCAGAAAATACGAGTAAAATGAATCAAAATCAAATGTAAGCTAGTGGAAAGCATCAGCAAAATTTGACATCAAGATAACAGTTTGGTATTACTCTTTCTTTTATACTAATACATGATTAGAATTGCTTCAACAAGTCATGGGAATATCTTAAACAAATAGTATTGCCTCTTCGAATCCTTACGATAATATGGATATTGGAATGCAAGAAGATGTCTATGGTAATTCATTAGATTTGCTACTTTATAAAATATGTGTTTAGGAGTTTAAGAAGATATAATAAAGTGTTAAGACTTTGATTTTTATGATGGTAAATTTTCCTATTGTTTTATAACATAACTTTTATAGAATTCGAAGATGATTTTGATGATGATGACCTAGAGTGAGAAAATAGATACTGATAATGGCTTTAATTATATAAAGTTTGGGAATTAGATAAGTTTAAAGATAAAATGACTCTCAAATTCTTAATTAAGGCATATTATATACACGTTTCTCAATCTCGAGAATATTCTCACTGAGTTACTTCTTTATTCAATCTTTATATTGCTTGCTTGACCATCAAAATATCAGCTTCTGTGGCTGAGGTCTTATCCCAATCCTTATACCAGTATTTTTCATCTTCTAACTCAACAGTACCACTCTTCTTTGATTTGTCCCAATCTAAAGAAATTAAACTTTTAAAATTTACTGTCTTCTTTGAACTCTTCTAGGTCGTCATCATCTTCTGCCAATTACTTGGGCTTTATTACTTATTAGATTGATTCCATTGAATAATTATTAAATTAATATATTAATGATAAATAACAAAGAGATTTAACAATTAATTCGATCATTCCTCACAAAATCTTAGATTAGACTACTAAATCATCTAAGAAATACCTTTTTACCATCTACCTAAAGATTAATGTTCATTGCATCTCTAGGCCTGTCAACTTAAAATTTATTTTTATGGCAAAGAATGAATCCTCCTGTATCACATTAACTCTTTTTCTTTGCTCTAGGATAATCAAGTATTACCTTTGGTAAGTCATTTAGCACTAGCTTGACCAATCTTTCAGTAACATGCTAAAATTGAATTAAAGTAGAAATCTTACTGTGGATAAATCCATTGATGGGGATGAGTTAACTTCTATCAACCATACTTTTAAATCCTCATCAACCATGAAGTCGTAGCCCAAAAATTCAAAACTATTTTTCCTATTTTCAACCATGTCCTGAACACTTTGTAAACTGCAAGTAACATATTTTTAAATTTAAGGCCAAATATCCTCTTAGAATACGTCCCTCTGAAATAATTCCTAAAGGTGAGTACTGAATTCATCACAATTCCACATATTACCCTCTATTTCACTCTCTTGAAACTTATCAGATTTGCTTACTATCGCATTATTCGTTAGATGCATAAACTTATCATTAATCTTTGTGATATCATAGTCTATCGGAGAAAATCTTATATAGCATTCCTTATAAATCCATACAGTCAAGGGATTCCAATCTGTTACTAAAACCCATTATCTTATATCAAACTTTTTTCTGCATAAAATCAAAGGATTTTCAATGTATTTTTACACTACAAAAGATCTTCCTCTAACAGCCTTCACATACTGCAGTATTTTTTCATAGCTTCTAAAGACCTTTATACCTCTACCTCTAGATTTACCACCTGGTTTTGCTATCCAAGTATTAAATCTTCCATTGATTTTATACTATGGAAACTTTTAAGCAAACACCTCTGTTATATTTCGGCAATAGTTCATGTAATAATTTTATATCATGCAATCAACATCATGATTGTAGTTTTGTTTTTCCCCACTAATCTCAATTTAATGATTGATAAATTCCTATGTATCCATTTAAAAAAACCCATAGACCCTTTAGAACCATTTTTATTAGTGTAAACTATCAATGAATTCAGCCGAAAGTGATTCTTTTCCAATGACTTCCCATTCTCTGTCAGTTACCATCAGTTCAACGTTCTAATTTATTGGCAGGTTAAAGCAAAATTAATTATACTTAATCGTCAAGTTAGTCATCAATATCTTTTAATCTTTTCTCGCATATTCTTATAGCAATTTGTAATCTTTCAATATGCCTAATAGTTTGATCAATCATATATGTTTTGACAATTGATTCAGCCTATAATTTATAAGATAATAAGTTATACCTTAATAAATCGAAATTCATTCTTGAAGTCATCTAGCTCTGCATCATCTGTGAGATCAAAGCACTTTGGAAAAAAGGTATCAATTTCGACATTGTTCCACCATACTAAACTTTTTAATGATTGGCATAAGCCAGTCTTAGTTGTTATTAAATTGTTTTTAAAGAAGTGATTCACCATTTGAAAATCTTAGAGATCTGAAGTGCATACATCAACCATTTTCACTGCGAACTTCATATCAAATATTTGTGAATTTCTGTCACTATTTTCATGCCAGCCTCTTTCAACTAAAGCTTATCGGAGAGATTGATATCCCCCAACAACAATGAATATTTTTGTGTCAGGGGCTAGTTTGAATCTTTTTCGGTAAAGCTACCAATCATCTATTGCGGGCTAAGGATTCTTGGCCTTTTCTTATCTGGCTAGAAATTCTTCTGATGGCCCCTCTATTTGCTTTTTGAAATCTATTGTAGTTTGATAATTGTAAACTTCCTCTGCCTGTTAAACTGAAGATATCTTCTATTCCTCATTTTTCCTATTAAATATTGAATCTGAAATGTATCTTACTTTTTAATTTTGACAAGTTTTGCAGATCTTTTTGCTACTTCATTTCTAGCAATGCTTATGATATCAAGTTGTCGCTTCTTTTAATTCTCCTCTTACTCTTAGGCCTTTTTCTTCTTTTACTGCAAGATTTCGATATACTTTTGTGCCTTCGCTTAAGCTTACTATTTTTATGTATTTACTGGCTGGATCTAAACTAGCTGACTGAAACTGCCTACTGTACTATTAAAGTGGTTTTATTCCTAATTAAGCTTTGATAGAACTATTTTATCATCTATGTTTAAAGCTGATGTTTGTTATGATAGCATTTAATGTAAATTTTGGGGACTTAAAGTTTGGTTCATATGTCTTACTACTTTGCTTCCTGGCTTTACATTCTCTTTTTTAATACTTTGTTGCCTAGTATTACTCGAGTCAATAAGAGTAGATTTAAAGTTAGTGTTTGTACCCCATAGTGATCTTTATGGATTCTCTTATAACTTTCTAGCATTATCAATTTATGATGTCTACGATGATGAACGTCTACCAACGTTATTATAATTATGAATTTCATTCTAATTCCTAATTTTATTAAGGTCTTAGTTCCTGTTTGCCTGCTCTATATTTATCAAGTTTTTATCAATAAGTGATTCCACGAACGATTACTTTTATCTATTTTGCATTATAAATTTCTGAGTGTTAGATTAAGGTGGTAACTATGGCTTCTAATTAAGAAGCATATTACTTTGCTTCTTTGAAATAGAATTGCTGAATAATGTCTTTGCCTTTGGATTGTGTTTAGGAGTTATATTTACTAGGTTTTTGTTAGCAAAATTAGAATTTTGGATCTTAGGAAAGATAACTTCACCAAAAACTATCTCGGCAGTCTTGTCTTCTGTTACATTGACATTTTTTACTGGAGAGTGTGCTACTACAGAGTGAATGCTCATCTAAGTTTTCTCCATCGATTAAATTCTTTGATATATTAATATTTTGTATTGAATTCAAAAAAGCAATTTATGTTTTTAAAAGCATTATAACCTTAACTTTATTATCTTGCGGGGTTTTGGGGTTTTGGGG